GCAATGAATTCCATTCCCTTCTATGTTTTCTGTTGGGTGAAGAATAGTCTCTCACTATTTGAATTTCATTTTCTTTGCATTTGAAGATCTTTCTCCTGATCACTTGCAAAATTTGTTTCTGAATTGAATTATTAAGTTTAACCACCAAGAGTCTTGGATTTTGTAGCCTTTTTTTTTTCTTTTTTCTGGAGGTGATATGCGAATGCTTTTAACTGGTACTTCATTTTCTGTATTCAGAAATTCTGGGCAGCTCTCCTCTATTATTTTCTCCATTATGGTATTAGGGTTTTTTGTTCTGTCATATTCTTTTGGGAAACCTATGATCCTTTGGTTGTCTCTACACATACTGTCTTCAAGGTCATTTGCTTTCATAGAGCACATTTTACTTTAATGTTAATATTTTTTTGTTCTCTTCTTCTGGATTATCCTTCACTTCTATGTATTTGTATTTTTAATCTATTATTTTCTCTTTTGTTTCTTTGGTAAGACTTGTCATTACAGATTCAAGTCTTTCTCCTTTGCTCATTGTTTATGTTGTGCAGTCCTTAAATTCTGCTCTCAAAATTCTCATTTGTCTTTTGAGCCACCTAGGAACAACGTGTTGTGTTTTCATATTCTCCTCACATTCCACAGGGTCTTCTGTCATCAAGTATTAGATCATTTTCTTTCACTTTCCTTGAGTTTTCTTCTTCCTGAGATCTTTGGTAATTTCAGTCTCCCTCTACCACCCCTACTTTTTCCTCATTCACTTTTTGACACTGTACCTTCTGATGGTGGTTTTCTTGGGGTTTGAATCTGGCCCAGCACTGGTGATTCAGTGAGCAGCCACACTGGTGCAATAGAGTTGTCTGGCCTGTCACTTGCAGTTCTGAGCTTTCTAGCACTGGTACTATGGTGATGTGGTTCCTAAAGGGTTGTAGCTGTATTGGCTGTCTATTGCAAACCAAAGAAAATTCTACAGTCTGAAGCTGGGGTTTCCATGACTGTGGAAAAATGGAAGGGAAAGTAGGGTATAGGTGTGGGTTTTGTGGTAAGCCTGTGTCTGGTCCTTGTGTGGGTTAGTGCATCCTTGCTCTTGGTAGCAGCAGTGTGGGAGCAGAAGGAGGGGTGCTGAGTGAGCTCAAGGTCAGTGAGCATCAATTCACGGTTTTTTTAACTTCCTTTTGTATTGTGGGTATGCTAGACTCCGACCATGGAGACAAGCTAAGTTTTAGAAAGGTTGGAGAGGTTATAGGAATCAGAAAAATTGTCTAGTCCTCTGTCTTGTTGCTCATGTGACCCCAAAGTCTACAAACTAGTTATTAACAACAATCATGACAAAGTACCAGCTTGAGTAATTTGTTCTTGGACCTGTGCAGTTTTGCAAATTAATTGAGATAAAGTAATTACATTTACTTATATAATAAATCTTATACATTTTATCTTATTTTTAAGATATGCCTTTTAATATGCAAGTCCTCCATTTGCCATAATAAGATTTTTTTTTCACATAATTTGTCAATGTCTCTATAAGATTGGTGTTGTTCAATTGTTTTCCATGTCTGCCACTTCATGATTTAATTTGGGGTTTTCTTGGTAAATACTGGAGCGATTTGCCATTTGTTTCTCCAGCTCACTTTGCTGATAAGGAACTGAGGCAAACAGGGTTAAGTGACTTGCGCAGGGTCACGTTGCTAGTAAGTGCTGAGATAGGATTTGAACTTATGAAGATAGGACTGGGACTCTATACACTATGCCACCTAGCTGTCCATTAGATTTTGGTACATTATTCTTTATTTCTTTATTATGCAGCCATATATCATATTGGATATTAGGTATGTCTTTGAAAGATGGTCTATTTTTCTAAGACATGAGATTTAAACAATGCAAATTTCCATGCCATTGAAGCATATTTATCACTGTCTCCTGCATAAATTTCTCCAGCTTTGGAATGATATATGGTCATGTCACACTATTCTTTCTCTATTTTCTTTAACAATTCTGCTTCTCAGTATATTCATATATTTATAAGAGTAAGTCATTTACTCAGTAGCGACAAGACTGATACTAAGGGATTATTAAAAGATCTAGGCTGTGGCCTCTACAGTGTTTGGTAGATCCTCTCTTGAGGCTGTTGGGAGGAAATGACATGAGGAAGCATGAAAGAACATTAGAGTATGAGAGCATGAATGGACAGCAATCAGCACCAATGGATGGGATACCCACAGCAATGGAATAACTATCCCTTAGATTTAATAAACATTTATAAAACACCTACCACCATCAAAGCAATGTGCTATATATCACAGATAACTAAAGACAAAAATTATATAGTTCTTGTTCTCAAGAACATTCTATAGTGAAGGCTAACAATCCTTCTAACTCTAAATCTATGAATCTTGTGACATGACCCACACATAGATAAATACAATATACAACATTGAAGTATTCCTATCATCACAAATTGATTCAGAAAATTCAGCATATGCCTGTGAACCAAAAGTATTTTTTTAAAGCTAGCCAACAAATCAGAATTTCTTCAAGGGTCTAGGGAAAATAAGTTTGAAGATGATAACAATTACAAAGATAAAAAATAATCTTGTTTCATTTGTTAGAAGTGACCATCTTAGGAGTTAATATAGTGAGAAACCAGTTTGCTCTGTAATTTACCATTATTTGGATGAATTTAAATAGGTTTCCTCAGTCTAGAGGACTTCAGAAGACTTATTAAAGGTTTCTTCATCTTATATTTTAACATTAACATTAAGCAACATGAAGTTAAGCTGACCCGTCTTGGAATGTCTGGGATTGGGGAAGAGCTCCTGCTGGAAAAACTCAAAGGAAAATTTTTAGGCCACAGACTCAAATAGTAATTGAGTTCTTGACCTGCTGTGTCAGAATACTGAGTTCCTCAATAATTTCACACCAAAGGACTCCCTCTATGATGCTGAGATGGACAATGGAAAGAAATTCTAGGAACACTGATCCTGGGAAAAGAACTGGATGAATTGGAGAAGGAAAAAAGGAGAAATAGATTGAAAAAATCAGAATGTGGCTACTTGAAAACCAGTTTAAAAATTTTATACAAATGTATTAGAATAGTACAGAATGCTATGCATTTACATAGTCACGTATTAGGATTCCTACTTCTTTCTTCATTTGTGAGGTTTGTAGTAAGTATGTATTTTTTTTAAAGTTCCTGATCTTATCAACCTACCAATCCTGACTGACAAGTATTTGTGATAATGATAACTCACATAAATATAATGCTTTAATATTTATAAAATGTATTCCTTACCCTGGTAAAATAGGTAGTACAAATATTATTTTCCTATTTTAAAGTTGAAGAAATTTAGATTGAAAGAATTTAAATGACTCAAATCATCACACAAAAAGGAAATATTGGGGCAGACACTCAAATCCTGGTCTTCTGACTCTATAATCAGTGGTTTTTCTACCATTCCACTACATTTCTACAATTACAAGTACATTTTTAATATGTTCCTACAAACCACACTGAATAAATAGCTTCCATATTCTACTCTTATACTGGCTACAACTAATCAGAAATAGCACATTATTTTGAAGACCCTGAAAGTACATTATTCTAACATTACTCTATGTACTAATGTCCACCCAAGAATATAATAGTCAGTGAAAAGTACTACTACTTCTTCATTATAGTTAGAAAGAGAGACCCTAACAGGCTAAGTGATTTGCTTCAAACTATATAGTGAATCAAAGGCATTGTAGAGAACAGAACTCAAATACATCACTTCTAGTTTCATACATTCTTTGTTGGATCTTGCTACATAAAAAGTATTGGGTTTGGAGTCAGAGGAGTTGGGTTCATGTCCTTCCTCTGCCACTTACTACCTCTGTGGATTGTGATTAAATTACTTACTATCTTGGGATTAGTTTTTGCATCTATAAATGAGGGGGTTGGACTAGATATCCTCTAATGTACCTTTCAGGTTTAGGTGCCTCCTACTATTTTTGTGGCTTGATTGTATTTTAAAAATAGTGCCACGTGGCAGGCACTTAATAAATGTTTATTTAATTGAAAGCATTTGTTGAATTGAATTATATTTGTTTTGAATGCTCACATGTAGTGAGACCTATCCCCCACACGTAGCATTGGCGTGTCTTTGTGTGGCACCAAGGGAGGGCAGAATACATTTATACCTTCTTCTCTCTGCCTTGCCCTCTTTCTACAAGGGAGCCTTTAACTCCTGCCAGGAGGGGAAGCAGGAAGTTGGGCTAGAGGCCACTCTGCTCTCCTCAGAGAGAGGGGAACTTGACTAGAATTCTATCTATCTTCTCATTTAAATATGATTAGTCTAGGGGATGTTATTTTCAGGTCAACATAATTTCTGATCACTGTTCATTATTGGAGGAAAGGAAGATCCCACCCTTTCTATCCAAGACTTGACAACTTTTCCACTAAAAAACAATTTTACAATGAACACGCAGTGAAATAGAAAAGAAACTTATTTAATTAAATTACAGCAAAAGAGAAATAAAAGAAGGCAAATGTAGGAAAATATATGCCAGACAATACTAAGTGAAGAAGCTCTCCCATTGCGGGTAAGATAACTCAGCTTAACCAAGAGGGAGAAAGAGAAAGAGAGTCCTAGGTATAACCCAAGGGGAAATTCCTTGACATCTCTTCTGTTGCTAGCTAGGGATAGAGATATAATGGAAACTTCATACTCCTGCCATGTCTTCCAAAAATCTTTTCCTTCATCAACCTGAAGTGGTGTTGGCCTCTTTCATCTTCCTTCTTGAAGCTGGAAGCCAGAAATGTCCTAAGCAACTGCAGGTCCTGAAGTGACTTAAAACTAGAAAGTCTGAAGAAGACTGAAGAAGGCTGGTGCTTTCTTGCTCTTACCAACTCCTCCCTGCCCCTCATGCAAGGCAGGGTCTTCATTTCAACTAATAAAGAAAAAGTCTCATACCAGTGGGCTTTGGAACTGGAGTTACACATCAAAAATGGAAAAATTAAAAATTCAAGTTCATACCTGAGGCAGTATAGTGATACAGAATGATTTGCTGGAGTCCTCATCTCTCAGGTATATGGAAATATTGGGAAAATATGACCAAGGTGTTTCATAGTTCCAGCATGCAAGTTGAGAACCAGTCCAAAATCCTTCAGAAAATTCTGAAATCTAAGGGGAAAAAAGGGGCAATGTGAAAAATAAATATGACAACTGAGTGTTTGTTAGTAGACTAAATCAATTGTCTTTCACATCACCTTGTCAATTATCTGTATCACCTCAAATATTAATTAGTATTAAGATATCAACCTAACTTGAATCATTTGCCTTTAGTCTGTAGCAGAAAGTAATGTATATAGATTTTAAAATCTACCAATAGGAATATACCAATACTCTAGGCTGAGGGTGTCAAACTTATATAGAAATGGGGCCACAAATCCAAACATAAGTTTCCCTGTAGGCTATAAATTGACTTAGTTTAAAAATGTAATGTTATCTGTGTTTTATTGTATTTTGATTCAGTTTGTTAAATATTTCCCAACTATATTTTAATCTGGATGAGGCAGCACATTCCTACTCTCTGTTTGACAGCTCTGCTCCAGAGGATATTAAAGTAATTACTACTGAGGCAGAATATCTCCTTCAAAAAGTCTTACAGCTAGCTAAATTGATAAAACCTGTAATTGAACTGAATGGCACTGGTCTATAGGGTCTGCATGTTTCTCTATCAGTTGTTGATCTTTAAACTAATTTTACCAGGCAACAGGTAAAGAACAAGTGAAAATAACATTACCATTTCCAAAAAAGGAATATTCATACAAGACAAATTGATAAATTTTCCAGAGTAAATTGTTTAACTTCACCCCCTAGAGAGTGGAGATACTTAGGTGTGAGCTCCTTGCTGTCTATGAAGGTATGGGAGATATGGTTGATTTCCCAGAAGCCAGCTCTGATGGAGCTTGGAAAATCCATGGATTAGTAGGTCTCAAGCATTACAAGATAACTTTGAATATATTCTCCAAAGGAGGTCAAATGGGTTTGGCAGAAATAGCTCTGTACTTGGAGTCAGAAGACCTCGGCAATTCATACCATCTATCAGGGTTGTAGCTTCTTCATCTCTGAAATGAAAGGGTTGTACTGTGTTTTTTATTCCTTTAATTTTTCCTGATGATCAACTGAAAAAAGGTAATACCCTCCCCTTTCCCTGGCAGTTCTTCCAGCAATAAGTAGCTTTTACGGAACTGTATTGTAAGTTTCAATGTACAACTTCTTAAGTGTACAAATAAAATGATGCATTTTTCAAAGTTAAAAAAAAGAAGCTGAAGGAATATTATGTGGAAATGAGATCACACTTGTTCTTTGGTTCTAAGAAATACAAATAGGAGCAAAGGGTAGAAGAGGCAGAAAGGTAAATTTAGGTGTGATGTAAGGGGAAGGTGATGTTGAAAAAGTTGCCTAAGAAGCTGTAAAAATCAAATTACTCCTCTTCCTCCTCCTTCTCCTCCTCCAATTACAACTGCATTTATGTAGCACTTTAAGAGTTAAAAATAATATCCCATTTGTTCCTCACAAAAAGCCAAAGAGGCAAGTGCTATTATTATATCCATTTTTATAGATAAGGAAACTGAAGCAAATAGAAACCAAAGCCATCAGAAGTTAAATGATTTACTCAGATATAGAGCTAGTCAGTGCTCAAGGTGGAATTTGAATTCATATCTTCTTGACTCCAAGTCCAGAGCTCTTTCTGCTATGCTACCTAAACCCTTTAACCAAGAAATTTCACTGCTATGTAGATACCCCAAGGAGGTCAATGACAAAATATAGCACCACTTTTTGCAGTATCAAAGAACTTAAGTCAAAGTAGATGACTATCAGTTACTGGATAAACAAAATGTGGAACATGAATGTAATATAATATTATTAAGCTATAAGAATCAGTGAATGTGATGAACATAAAGAAACATGGCAAGGCTTATGTGGTCTGATGCACACTGAAATAATAAGAACCAGGAAAACAATACACATGATGACTGCAACAATATAAATGGAAAGAACAATAACAAAATAATTAAAATGGAATGTTGTAAAATTATAGCATTTAATTATAAAAATTATAAAATTGTCAAGCTTGGCCCCAAAGAAGGGATATGTGAAGTCATCTCCACCCCCCCCATTTGTTTGATCTGTACAGCAACCCTGTGAGATAGGTGCTATTATAATTTAACCAATGCCCACATCTTGTTGCAGCAGTGGATTAGACTTGACGATAGACTTTTTTTTTTTGGTGAGGTGATTGGCATTAAGTGACTTGCCCAGAGTCACACAGTGTTATATGTCTGAGGCCACATTTGAACTCAAGTCCTCCTGACTCCAGGGCCAGTGCTCTATCTACTGTGCCATCTAGCTGCCCCAATGATAGACTTTTTAATTGGAAACTTGTTCCTATAGTGACACAATCAGCTTCCCAAAGGGCATACTGACCTTGTCTTTGATTTTCTAAATTATGTAAAAATATCTACAATTTATATTCAATTGTGTAAAAATGTTAATGGTTACTAAATTCAGTGAGAAATTTGTTAGTCTTTTACAGTGCTTTTGCAGACAAGACAGAAAACTTCCTTCACTCCATAACCTTCCGAGCTGGTCTACCCATCAGCAATGGAGTAGGAAAATTATGAAATTGTAGAGTTGGAAGGGAGCTCAGCACTGATCTAGTCTAACTTATGCACGGAAATAATTCCCACAACATTAAATCCAACAAGTAATCATCCAGTCTCTGTTTTCATATCTCTAAGTGGGAAGGAGGCCACTTTGGGAGAGAATATATTCAACTTTTGGGTTGCTATAATTTCTAGGAAGTTTCTCATGACCTCAAGTCTAACTATGTCTTTTTTCAACATTTATCCATTGCTGTTGGTTTTACTTTCTGGGGTCAAAGAGAACAAATCTAATTTCCCCTCACATAATAGCCCTTAAGATACTTCCAGAAAGTTATCATGTCTGCTCTGAGTATTTTTTTCTCCAGGCTAAACATGTCCAGTTCCTTTCACTTATCCTCATATGACATAGCCTTTCATCATCTTGCTTGCCTTCCTCTAGACACTCTCCAGTTTAATAATTACTGAACACAATATTCTGATAAAAGCAGAATACAGTGGGACTATCTCTTCCTTGTTTCTGGAAAATATGCTTCTTTTAATGTCATCTAAAACAGCATTAGCTTCTTTGGCTTTCACATCACATTGCTGACTCATATTGCGTTTCCATTAGAATTCCCAGATCATTTTTAGACAAATTGCTATTTTACCATGCCTTTCCTATCTGATACTTGTAAAGTTAATTTTTTTTTTTTTGGTAAGACTTAACATTTATCCCCATCAGATTTCGTCTTATTAGATTCTGTTTAATCCTCTGCAAATTTGATGAGCATGAGCCTTTATCCACGTCACTGATAAAAATGTTAAATTGTATGTGATTTTACCTTCTTAATATTCAATTCACTTTCATTTTCCCCTTTCATCTAACCTGTTTTAAGATGAAGTATATCCATCTAGAGCAATAGTCCAGTAACGAGTTTCTTTTCTGAAGCAACTCTCTTTGTGTTTTCCCTAATCTCTATGATTCATTAACTTGTGTTTGCCAGAGCAAAAATTCCTTTCCTCTGACGCTTCTTACATTTTCATCCCTGTTCAGTTCAGCTATACTTCTCTTTTGACCTTTTCCAGTATGTTTTTTAAAACCTCTATTCTGTTGTTAAACTCCCTTCTCTCCTAGACCTCTTCCACTTTCTGACACTCAAATAAACCTAGACAATAGCAATTGCCAGGAAGTTTCCCCTAATATCAAGCCCAAATTTGTCTCTGTAGCTTCCACCCATTGCTTCTGGTTGGGCTCTCTAGAGACAAACAGAACAAAATGAATTGCTCTTCCATATAATAGCCTTCAAATACTTGAAAACAATTGTTATTTGTGTCCTCCACCCCTAAGTCTTTTCTTCTCCAGTGAAATGTAGCCAATGACAATGATAATACAAATGGAAATAATCAAAGATATGATTGTACATGTTAAATGTAATAACTAATCTTGGTTACATTGATACAATGATTATAATGATTTATTGTTACAAATAATATAAACATAATATTACAAATATATTTCACAAATATAAATTGTATTACAAATATGTAAATATAACATTGTATATATAATTTATATTACAAATATATACATAATTTACATATGTATATATGTACACATATAATTTATTGCAAATATATTGTTATAATAAATTTATATTTACATTACATAGAAAATATTCTAAATATTTATAATAATTGGTTACAATGATATTTATTATAATTACATATAAATAGAAATGTTATGGTATTTACATTGATACAATTGGTTACAATGATAGAAGCTCTTTCTTCTCACTAGAGAGATGATTGACTACAGGTGTAAAACATTGCCTAAGTTGTCACGTGTCATATATCAGTTTGTTTTTAACTGTTTTCCTTTGCAATAAAATGTTTTATGGGCCTAGGAGATAAGCTGGTTCTTTGGAAAGAATAGTGAGGTGAAAAAATCTGAAAGAATAAGTAAGTATAAGAAAGAAACTCCAATAGACATGATTTCCAGTTTCTACATGATCATTTACAAAATTAATTCCTGTTTTTCCCTGAGAAGACGATTGATGATCACACTTACCAAAGATGTGTGGGAAATTGCTTCGATCACAGCATCAAAAACTTTTGGAGGCAGATGCAGCAGAGTGGTGCCACTATCCACGATGGCTTTATCTATATTGTACTAAAGAAAAGAGAAGGGGAAATAACATGAGAACATATGGTATTATAGGTAAATAAAATGATGAAGGCCCTTTTTTCAAAGGAATTATCAACTGAATTCCATTTTTAAAGATAGCTGTAACACATCTTCTGTAGATTTTACAACATTCTCTCACAATGGGAGCTGAACACAGGGGAAACAAATTAATGTTATAAGCTGATTTAAATGAAATAAATTTGAACATTTATGAAGTACCTACTACAGGTAACGCAAGGTGCTAGGCATAATACAAAGATATAGATAACACAGGTCCTCTCAAGGAGTCTAAAGTCTAAATTAAGGAAAGAAAAATATAAACTTAACTTTCACAAGAGAATATATCACCATAGAGGTCTTGGTAAGTCAAGGCAAAATGTTATGAGAAATCTGAGGAGTTAGAAATCACTTTTAGCTAAGAAGAGTTAGGGAAGAACGTTGAACCTGAATTGTACCTTGAAGGAAGAGAGGGACTTTAACACTCATAAGGGGGGACAGCATGAGCAAAAAAATTGAGAAGGGAGAAAGACAATAACAAGGGATTCAGTTTAGTTTTATTTGTACTATAAATATGTGAATGTGGTACTATGAGATAAGGTTGGAAAGCCAATCCTCTTAATATAGAGGGATTGGGTGTCAGGGTTAAGGGTTTCTTATATGTTATTCAGAACTCAGTGGAGAACTGTGGAAGATTTTTGAGTAGTGGAATTATATAATCAGAGAAATATATTAGAAAGATTATTCAGTTAGTTGTATGAAAGATAGATAAAACAAAATATCCTCTAGAGTAGCACTTCTTAAACTGCGGGTCATGACCCCAGTCATGGAAAATTAGGCAACAGTAAAAGCTTTCTGAAAGCTCAACAACCAAAAATTAATTAAAAATCAAACACGAATCGGAGGTGCTTCTGGCAGCGCCTGTTGTTTGTTGCCCACAACTTCATTGCAGCCTTGGTTCTGAACATACACCACATGCACTTTGCATGGTACATGCTGTCAGGCCATGAAGCATCAACCAATGCTGCCAAAATGCAAATAGGGGTCCAAAGTGGAAGAAAAAGTTTAAGAAGTCCTGCTAGAGGAAGAAAAGTCTAGTCTAGAAAAGAAACATTTAGGATGGAATGGATTCAGGAGGTATTATGAAGGACTTATCTGGAAAATACAGGTGAAGTTAGATAGAAGAATCAAAAATGACTAATAGCTTTCAAGTCTAGATGACTGAAAGGATAGTGTTACCACTAACAAAAATGAAGAAGAGACTTCTGTGTGGTAGTTACTTAATGAATGTCCATCATTATAAATTTGTTGAAGTTAGATGAGCATTAGAGGATTAGGGGACTGGAAAGATAATGAATTCAGATTTGGATAAATTCTATTTGGACAAATTCAATTTCTAGATGGCTGAAGGATATGTCTATTTAAATGTTTTACAATGAACATTGTAAATGATGGCTGTGTCCTTCAGGCAGCTGGAAATATGCGAATGAATTTTGGGGAGAAATTAGGCCTAAAGAAAGAGATTTGGGAGTCATTCACAAGGAAGTAATTATTAAAGACATGGAAATGAATGAAATTACCATAGAGAATGCAAAGAAGAGAAGGGTGCCAAGGACAAGATCTTACAAGATAAAAGAAATAAGAAGGGAACTATGAGGGTCACAAAACAAAAGTACGATAAGATATCAAAGAAGGAACAATCAAAATCACATAAAATGTGGTGTCTAGAACTGAATGTCATACTACAGATGTAGTCTGATTGGTGCAAATCAGTGAGGCTATCACCTCCCTAATCCTGAATACTAAGACTTTTTAAAAAAAGTTATGTATTTTTAAAAATTGGTAAAAATTCACTTTCTTTCCCCTTTCTCCAACTTTTCCTTCCCCTATTGAGAATGAAAAAAAAGACCCTTGTTACAAATATATACAGTCAAGCAGAACATATTTTAAAAAAATGTCTTGTTCTGTGCTCTGAATCCTTCACCTCTCTCAGAGATAGGTGATAAGTTTCATCATTAGTGCTCTGGATTTATGGTTAGTTGTTATGTTGATGTGAATTCCTAATTTTTTCAAAGATGTTTATCTTTACAATATCGTTGTCTGTATAGATTATTCTCCTCGTTCCATTCACTTGACTCTGCATCAGTTCATATAAGACCACCCAGCTTTCTCTGAAACCATCCCCTTCATCATTTCTTAAAGCACTATAATATTCTATCATGTTTATACATCCTAATTTGTTCAGCCATTCTGTAATTGATGGCACTCTCTCATTCTCATTTACTGCTACCTTAAAAATCCATAAATATATTTTTTACTTTTTTGGACTTTGTTCTGTTTATGAATAACCCCTCAATCTATCCTCCCTCTGATTGCTCATTCTCCCTTTCCACCATTCCCTTCAATTTCCCTGGAAACAGAAATGTATTTGTGTACTCAACTGTGTGCTTGTGGGTTCTTCCCTCCTTTGACCTGTTCAAATGTGAGTAAAGTTCAAGTGCCAGCCATTCCCTACATTCCCTCTTCCTTGTTTGTATAGATGTCTATGGATGTTTAAGTACCTTCAGTAGAAGATGAAAGAGAAAATGTGGGATGTAGTCAGTGGGAGAGGAAGAGCTCAACATTATGAAGCAAAACTGAGTTCTTATCAAAACCAATCTAATTAAGCATTTATTACAGTCAATCCTCATTATTTGTGGATTTCATACTTGTCAATTCACTTGCTCATTAAGATCAATACTTGTAGCACCTTTGCAGTCATTTATTTATATGTGCAGAGTGGTAAAAATTTGAGTTGCCAATATGCATGTTCCTAGCTGAGGTCACACAAGACAATGCTCTCCTTTCTTGTTTCTGTTTGCATAGTGTTCTTTTTGAGGCCTATTAAGTGCCAATTTTTCACATTTTTTTGGTTTTTGTTGATGATTTAGCTATTTAAAATGGCCCCCAAACATAGTGCTGCAGTGCTATCTAATATTCCTATTCACACAGCTTGGTAAAATAGGCACAAAAATTCACTGAAGAAAAAAATTCCTTAAAAAGTAGAATTGGCCAAATTGAAAAAAATACAAAGACTCACTGAAGAAAATAATTCCTGCCTGAAAAATAAGAATTGGGCAAGAGGAGGCTAATGACTCCATGAGACATCAAGAAACAATAAAACAAAATCAAAAGAATGAAAAAAGAAGAAAATATGAAATATTTCAACAGAAAAAACAACTGACTTGGGAAATAAGTTGAGGAGAGAGAATTTAAGAATTATTGTACTTCCTGGAAACCATGATCAAAAAAAAGAACCTAGACATTAATTTTCAATAAAATATGAAAGAAAACTGACTAAATATCTTAGATTCAGAGAAGTAAAATAGAAATTAAAAAAAAACTCCACCAATCACCTCTTGAAAGAGATTCCAAAATGAAAACTCTCTGGAGTTTTACAGACAATTTCCAGAGCTCCCAGGGCAAAAAGAAAATATCACAAGCATCCCGAAGGAAACCATTCAAATATTGTACAAAAGATTTAACAGCTTCTATATTTAAGGAGCAGAGGGCTTGGATATATTCCAGAAGGCAAAGGAGTTAAGATTATAGCCAAGCATAATCTACCCAGGAAAAACAAAAACTTCAGAGGAAAATTGGATATTTAATGAAATAGGGGACTTTTAAACATTCCTAATGAAAAGATAAGAGTTAAGTAGAAAATTTGACTTTCAAACACAAGATACAAGAAAAGCTTGAAAAGGTAAATATGAAAGAGTAGTCATAAGGGACTCAATAAAGATAAATTATTTACATTCCTATATGGGAGGAGAGTACATGTAACTCTAAAGAATTTTATCATTGTTAGGGCAGTCAAAAGGAGTCTATGTAGATAGAAGGGATGGGTGTGAGTTGATTGTGTTGGGATGATAAAAAAAAATGAAGGGTTGGGAAAGAGGAAACACCTGGAAGAGGTAGGGAGAGGAAGAATGGGGTAAATTATCTCACATAAAAGAGGTGTACAAGGAAGAACTTTTATAGTGGGAGGAAAAAGGGACGGTGGTCATTGGCAATGCTTGAACCTCACCTTCATTCGGAATTGTTCAAAGTAGGAAGAATATATATACACACTCACTTGGGTGTAGAAATCTGTCTTACCCAACAGAGAAGTAGGATGGGAAAAGAAAAGAGAAAGGGTGGATTAAGGGAGACAATGGTCAGAAACAAAACAAACTTTTGAGGAGGAACAGGGTGAAAACAGAGAGATAAGTGTAAAAAAAGAAGAAAGTAGGATGAAGATATACAGTAATCATAACTGTGAATGTGAATGGGATGAACTCACTCATAAAATAAAAGCAAATAGCAGGATGGATTAGAAACCAGAATCCAACAATACTTTACACACACACACACACACACACACACACACACACACATATAAGGAAATCACATTTTGCTAAAAAGTACCATAGGCATGAAGTAATATTCAACATTTTTACAGCAAGTCTCTCTCATAATGAACTAATTTCTCCTTCCCACTAAATTATCTTTATGTGGAGTCCCACAAAGCCACTTCTAATTTACTTTACTAAACACTGTTTCAGCTCTATCAAGGTAGCACCAATGTTTTTTCCAATTAAAGGAAGTTTTTATAGTTAATAATTCTCTACATAACTTTATAGGATGCAAATAATTTTTCTGATGTCATAGATATGGCTTTAAGAAAAATTCTGGTTTTACTTATTAAAAGTATCTAATTTTCTACGGAAAAATATCTCATCTTGCCTCTACATATACATACATACACACATATATATATATGTATACACACACACACACACACACACACACACACACACATATATATGGTATGCATTTTCAAGATGTGATGTTAATTTATGTTATCTACAGCTAAGGCACCAGAACAAAGCAAAGACAGAAGTCTTTACTCCCTATCAATAATGGTACTTTTGAATCTCAAAGAGAAATACAGTGGAGAACAGTTTTTAAAATTTGATCTTTTTAATTTTTCTGTATTTCTGTTGCTTAAATTCTCTGTATACTCTTTGTACTAATTTTACCTGTTCCAATAGATTTTCTGTTCAATCTATATTTTTATTCAACATGAAGGTATATTATTTCAGCTTTTAAAAATATAGACATTAACAAATTTAAGAAAATTTCACCAAATCTGGTTGTTACTCAGTGTGGTGGTATACATGTGTAATCTCCGCTACTGGGAAGGCTGAGGCTGGTTGATCACTTGAGCCCAGTTCTGAGCTGCAGTAGAACTAGAGTTGATTAGGTATCTTCACTAAGTCTGGCACCAATATAGTGGGCTCCCAGGAGTGCAGGGTTACCAGGATGCTTAAGGATAGGCAAATCAGCCCAGCATGGAAACAGAGAAAGCCAAAATTTCTGTGCCAAATAGTAGGATTGGAGCTGTGAGTGGATCCTGAACTTCCAGCCTCAGTGAGGCTCAAAAAAAATCTGATTGTTAAAAATTTGAAACGAGTATTTATGTCCATTCTTGAGTTATTTCAATTTGTTGAAAGTTGAGTTCTTAGGGAAACTAATAAATTGTACTTTTTCACTTCAGCATATATATGTATATGTATTTGTATATACATATATGTATATATTAAATATTATAGCTTATACACTATTAAAATGAAGCAAGGTGCACAATACAACTTTTCTGTGTCTTGAACCTATGGTGACTGATTGTGACAGTGTACTCCATGTGGAGATTAAATATATGTTGAATAAAATTTGTCCTCAATTGTGCACACTACATTAAATTAAAATTTTTTTTTTGCTACATTCATTGTATGATGGGGAAAATTTACCAGGTTATTCTTATCTTAGCTGATTTTTATTTGAACTTTGTTATAATAAAAAATCAATGAATTTATCTGTTAATTGTACTAAACCTATTCAATATTTGGGCCATTGTCTTGTACTTCAGCCCTGCAGCTTGGGGAAAAGAAGATACAATACCCAATTCAGAAGCCTCTGGGATAGTGGCTTAGAAGGATAAGAATAATAGCAAGCAAAGGGGCAAGATATTCAAGGGTAAAAAAGATGACATTGAAATGTCAACAAGTAAGGTTAAAATATTCCTTCCTAAATACAATCTGAAGAAAGTGGGCATATTTGATTCTTGATTCTTTAGGTTGATGGAATAGATAAAACATATGATTATTAAAAAACCAACAAAACTATGCATATTTTTTTCAGAGATGGTCAGACTTGGTAACACACATTGACATTTATTAGCCCTACCCTTTTTCCTCCTTCCTCTTCCCCCACCAGATATATTGCCTTTCATCTCTAATCCCAAACCATTATCATCTATATTACAACTATCAAAACTTTTTAAATGGAATGACCTGACAGAAGTTTTATGGAGAAAAGAAGCAGCCTCCAATTGTTCTGGATAATCTATCCATAGAAAATGGGATTTATAATTACATTGTAGTTTATAGCACTACCTACTTGTACTAGGAACAAAATAAAATGAGAAAAGATTCTTATCCATGGAAAATGTCATATTGATTCAGGAAGACGCACTTAAGTATTCAATTAACATAATTTCTACTCTGAAGCTTATTAAAGCTGGACATAGATATACTTGTCAAATGAGAATACCTAAACCAGAGACACTTTGAATACAGGAAGAAAAAGAAGCTGAAATTGTTTTACTATTTGTTTTAAGGAGAAATGGTTACCAAACAGTAAATTAAAGCATTACTATAGCTACCATTGCTTCATTAATGGAGACATTATTTCAAAACCAAAAATAAGAATTGATCCACATGGTTAGGCTCTATAAATAATGAGAGCTAATCTATTATTTCATCAGAACCTGTCTTTCTTCTTGAATTTCTTTTCATAGGAATCAGTGTCTATTTAGAAACAGGTAGAATATAGAAATTAAAGGTAAATGAAAAATCAAAACAGAATTTCTGCATTTTGCCAATTTTTTAGAAGGTTGCTTTAGCCTATCTTTTCAGAAGCCCCAAAAGGCAATTGAATAATTAAAGTTAATGTGAAACCCTTTTTAAATTAAAAAAAATATTTATTTTATTTTTAATTTATGGAATTAAACAGGCCTTTCTATAACAGTTTAATTAAAAAAGATAATAGTATATGAAACTGCAAATCTATTGTGCACAACTTGCTATTACTTTTAAATGCATAAAAATTTTCAAGTAAATTTCTTTTTCCCCAATTTTTCTACCTCTTTCCCCCACCTTAGAGATAGCTACCATCAGATAAAAATGTATATATATGTAAAATCTATACATTCTATACTTATTTTGATTTATCAGTTCTTTCTCTGGAAAATTTTTACTACTATCAAATCAAGTAAATATTAAAAACTTGCCTTTGTGTTTCCCATGATAGAAAAGGAAGCAGCAAAATATTGATTATGCAGTTTTTTCCCTTGGGGGAAATACTACAAAAGACAACTCGTGAACTTTATACATTTTTCATTTGCTTCATTTTCTTTTAACTTGAGATCTTTGTTTCTCTTCGATACACATTATTTTCTAGAGATGAGTTCTTTAATCCAATATTTAATTGTATTTATTGATGAGGTTAACAAAAACACAACCAACTCAAGACCAGCTTAGGGGAAAATATATATAACAAATCTCGTAATGTCATAAGTAGGTTCAGACACAACTCAGAGAATACCACTTCAAGATGAATATGAAGCAAGTTGGCTCTCAATTTTCCTCCAGTCAATTGACTTTAATTAATATTAATTAAGTATAAATATTAGGCCAAGAAGTAAGAAAGTCACATTTTCTCTTTTTTTCCCATCTCCTTCAAATCACTAGCTACCCCAATTCTCTTCATTCTTTGACATATATATATATATATATATATATATATATATATATATATATATATATATATATATATATATATATATATATATATATATATATATATATATATATATATATATATATTATAATATATATATATATATATATATATATATATATAACAGAATGACTTCAGATTTCACATTCAGGTCAAAGCTATAGCACTCAAATGAAAATGGACAGATGTGTATGTGTACACAGATAGACCTTATTGCAAATACCTCACTACAATCCAAATTGAGGTTCTGTCCTCCAATTTCCAATTTCAGGATTTCAATTTGGTAATACCATTCCTTTTTAATTGTTGTATACCATATTTCACCTTCATATAAACTTGGTTCAACTCCTCCCATGACCTAGGAAGAGAAATATTCACAAATATAAGAAATAAAGCTATAAAAGCCAACTCAGGTTCAACAGATTAATCCAACAATTTGAGAAACATTCATTATTTCTACACACATGAATACATACACGCATATGTGTGTGAATATATATGTATATATGTGTATGCATATTTATATGTATATATGTGTGTGTATATGTGTATGTGTGTGTGTGTACATATATATGAAGCACTATGGTAGGCACTATGCATACAAAGACAAAAATGTAAATCAATACCTGTCCATAATTAAATTAAATTCTTATGTTTTTTTTTCCTACTGTGTAAGAAGAATCACATTACTTGGCTCCTCAAAATAACTTTGAATTTCTTTCACAAGAATAGCTTCCTAATATTTGACAAAGTTAATATTTTAGTGTTCAAGCTGGAAGAAAACAGCTCAGTTCTACAGTTATCAGGGAAAAAATAAAAACACAAGACTAAACTTGCAATAAATCATATTCCTCTATACTTTCCTTCAGAATAACAACAAAAACACAAGAAGGCCATATATAATAAGTGCTTCAAATTACTTTATTTTTATTCTGTTTCCATTCTCTATAGTACATCTTCTGATTTAGTCATTCAAATGAAACTGCTTTCTCTATAGTTAATAATGATGTATCTCTTAATTGCCAAATCTAAAGGCTTTTCCCCAGTTCTCATCCTTCTTGACCTCTCTGCAGCTTTAACATTGATTACCTTCTTCTCCTTGATACTCTTTTCTCTCTAGGTTTTTGGGACCACACTTTCTCCTCATGCTCTTCCCACCTATTTGACTATTCCTTCTCTGTCTCCTTTGCTTTATCTTCTTCCAAGTCATTTCTGTTATCTATGTCCTGGGGCTTTAACCTGAGTCTTCTTCTCTTCTTCCTCTTGGTAGTTTCATCAGCTCCTTTGGATTCAATGATCATCTCTATGCTGGCGTTTCTCTGCTCTAATTAGCTTGAATCTCTCTCCTGACCTTCAATCTCACATCTCCAACTGCCTATTGGACATCTCAAACTGGATGTCCTATAGACATTTTAAATCCAACATATCCAAAACTGAACTCATTATCTTTCCCCCAAAAAACCTTCCTCCCTTCCACTTTCCTTATTATTATTTTATTTATTTTATTATTATTTTTTAGGCAATTGGGGTTAAGTGACCTGCCCAGGGTCACACAGCTAGTAAGGGTCAAGTGTTTGGTCTGAGGCTGGATTTGAACTCAGGTCCTCCTGACTTCAGGACCAGTGCTCTATCCACTGTGCCACCTCACTGCTCCTTTCCCTATTATTATTGACACTACCATCTTCTCAATCATCCAAGTTCCCAGTTTAGGTGTCATCCTCGACTTCTCTCTCCATCACACAGCATATCCAATTTTTTTTTTTGCAGTGGCTTTTTTTTTTAACCATTGCAACACTTCTTGAATATGCCCTCTTCTCTCCTTGACACTGAAACCACCCTGGTGCAATCAGTTAATCAGTCAATGAGCATTTATCAAGCTTCCACTATGTCAGGCACTGCACAGGACCTCATCACCTCAAGGCAGGGCTATTATAATAGCCCGTTGGTTAATCTCACTGCCTCAATTCTCTCCCTACTCTAGTCCACCCTCCACTCAGTTGTCAAAGTGATCTTCCTAAAGCTGAGGTCTGACTGTGTCTCTCCTACTTGATAAATTCAGAGGCTCTCTATGACCTCCAGGATTAAATATATATTTCTTGGCATTCAAAGCCTTTCATAACCTGTCCCTTAACTTTTAGTCTTCTTGCATTTTACTCCTCCTCTACACACACTCTGCAAGGCAGTGACACTCACTTCTGCTTTTCCCCCATGTTATATACTTTATCTTTCAACTGTGGGAATTTTCACTGGTTGCCCTTTATGCCTTGATTGCCAGGAATTTTTTCTCTTCTTCTCTGTCTCCTTACTTCTCTGAATTCCTTCAAGACTCAACTAAAATCTCTTATTCTACAGGAAGCCTTTCCTAATCCCCCTTAAAATTCTAATATCTTCTCCCTTTGGATAATTTCTAATTTGTCCTGTATGTAGCTTGTTTGTACATAGTTGTCTGCAAGCTGTCTGTTCCATTTGACTGTGAGCTTCTTAAGAGCATATGCTGTTTTTTGGCCTTTATTATTATTCCCGTTACTTAGCATAATTCCTGGCACATAGCAGCCTCTTAAGTATTTATTGATTGGTTGACTGGTTGGGTTACAATCGTTCTGAGAGCCCATTCTCTTTAGAGAAAGTGGGACGAGGTGTCTGGCAACTGTTTCTGCACCAAGAGGAGCCTTCATAATTTTTTTCTCCCTTTTCACTTTTCATATTTACTAAGTTGGGGGAGGCTGATCAAGAAGAATAAGTCAGTCTTCAGTTTCACTCAACATGTTAGTCCTCTCAGTTCAATATTCATGTCAGATACCACATATGTCTCTGTATTTCTTTAGGAGTTTAATCTCCTAGAACTTGGATTCAAGGAATGAGTGAACATATAATGGCTCAGGCACTGTTTGCAAATGAGAAATAAAAATTAATAATATAAACATATATGTTTAGACACACATGTGTATACACACATGTGAACATGTACATGTATATACACACATATGTATGTGAAATTGGAGTAGGAATGATTTCTACTCTTCCCTTCATCCTCTTCCCCATATTGACAGCTCAAGTAGACAAATTTTCTGTCTGTAATGAGAAATAGTGTGCTATAAAAGGAAGAATAAAGAGGAGCTGTAATGGAAAACTTGGGAGAAGAGTGAGAGAATTTAATGTAATGAGACAGTGAAGAAGTATAAAATAGCATTTAAATATGACTGTCAACATTTAATCATATATATGCATGCACATTTTTTAGCCAACTCAATGTATAATTATTCCTGAAAGAGATTAAGAAAAAAGCCCCACAAATCATGATTTTCTCCTCTTTAGAACTAAGAGATACCCACAAGACTACCTCCATTGGTACCAGTTCTGTCTCTTGGTAATCCTGCCCCACACATTTGTATGGAAAAAATATTGGAGATCTCAGCTTGCTTCACAAGGGAATCAAAGAATGTCTCCAAAGAACTCGATGGCTATGAAAAAATTAAATCAAAAGTACAATTACTTCATTATTACTCATATTTTGTTTAAAAAGTTATCAAGTATACAACAGCAAGCAATATCTACTAAATTATATTTCCTTTATGAAAAAAGAACAAAGAAATTCATATAAAAATAATTCAGAAATTGTAGGCAGAACTTCCCATGACTTTTAAATATTCCTTTCTGTGTATCTTAAATAATGTAATATTAGTTCATATTTATTGGTTGATGCTCCTGACAGACATTATATGTACTATCAGAGGTCATGTACAAGGCAGATATAAAGAGACACTGATGGAGATAGTATATTAGTGGTCTTTGAAACAAAGATGTGTTCGCCTATTGCCAGACACTTTCCATCCTCTCTGTCTCAGTCTCCCTTCATACACAGACACACACACACACAAATATAAATATACATACACATGTAGATATACATATATACACACATACAAAGTGTTCCAAAGTTTTAGTCCATTTCAGAGTTTAAGATCTAATGGTGGGTACTCCATAAATAAATATCTGTTGATGATCAGACCTGAAAGTACTAAGTTTTTGACAAATTGCCTACCAATTAAACTATTGCTAATAGATAGTGCATATATGTTGGACCATGCTATATACTTGTCTCATTTCTGTATTATCATTCATGTCACACCTCTTAAGTGTAGCTATATCACAAAGTCTTTTCCTGGACCCTCTTATTCTTCTTCTATATCCCCTCTTGGAATCCATAGGTCCAAATATAATCTTTATGAGACCATTCCCAGATCAATGGATATACATATTTCCAGTCTCTCTTGAGCTTTGATTGAACATTATCAACTGTCTGCTGGAATTTCCAAGTAGGTATTTTGAAGGCATCTCAAACTCAATATGTCCAAAATAGAACCTGTTATTCTTTCAGCAAAATTCACTCGTCTTCCTCTAACTTTCTTATTTCTACTGAGGACATTATTTGCCCTTGCAGTTTACCAGATTCACAATTTTGGGGTCATTGCCTCTTTTCTCTACCATGCCCTGTATCATATTAGTTGCTCTCTTTTGTCAGTTTTGCTTCTACATCGCCTGCATCTGTCCTCTTTTCTTTACATAAATATCCGCCACTATTTTAGGACTTCATTACTTCTCTTCTAGACCAGGGGTTGGCAAAATATGGCCTCCGGGCAAACCTGCCCCATGCCTTGTTTTTTGTATGGCCCGTAAGTGAAGCATAATTTTTACATTTTTAAATACAATAAAACCTTATTTACAAATGTAAGAAAACACTCTTACCTTGTGTGCTATACAAAAACAAGCAGTAGGCTGTAGTTTGCTGGTTCCAGGCTATTGCACTGACCTCCTTAACTCAAATATATTTTTTTCCAAAGCTACTCTCAACATGGTTGCTAAAGTGATATTTCAAAGCACAGGACTAACTATATCTCTTCCATGCTCAATAAACTCCAGTGGCTCCCTGTTACTTCTAGGGGACAAAAAAAGGACTCCTTTAGCATTTACAATCTCTCTCCAGCCTATATTTCTAACTTTCTTATATATTCCTCCCCTTCATGTATTTATTCTATAGTCTAGCCAAACCAACAACTTGACATTCCTCAGACAAAAGAACCTATATCTTTGATCTGGGTGAAACTTTGCAGGAGATATTCATTACATCTGGAATTCAGTCCTTTCTCAGTCTTACCTCTTAGAATTCCTATTTCTCTTCAAAGCCCTTTTCAAGTGTCACCCCATAAATGAAGCCTTTTCCGATATCCCCAACTATTTGCTATCCTCCTCAATTACTTTGTGTTTATTGTGTAGATATTTTAAATTTGTAGATAGAACTGTTTTTTTTCCTGTGATGAAATCTACACTTCTTGAAGGTAATACACTGTTTTATTGTTTTCTTTGAGATACCCAAGCCTTAAATAAATGTTTGTTTATTGATCAATTGGTTTTAAAATATTTTATTAGTTCTCAAAAAAGTAAGCATGTTCACTGCCATCATTCATTAATTTCTAGTTTTGTTCTCTTCATTTGTTACATGTTGTCACAGCTCTCTGTTCAGAAAGCATCACTGTGTCTACTCAATGGGCTCAATAAAAAAGATAGCTCATCATATATGTTTCTGAGTTTAGGGGAAACAGTAATCCTTAGTTCAGGTTCTGACTTTGAAAAGTTGCTGACAACTGCCTTGCTTAAAACACTTTGGGTTCAGGTTAGAGAATAAGCTGAAGTAGATAGGATGCATACCTATATGCTCTTAGCAGATGAGAAAATGATTTTCTATTAGGAAAGGGAATTATCCCTTTTTGAGGGTCCTAGCTGGTAACAAATCAAGTCTCCCTCCTGTACTCAATTCTAGGCCTAATTGTAGGTCACTCCTCCAATGCCATCACTTCAAAAACACTGGTCAAAGTGTTTGCCTATTCCTATTCTTGGTCACCCTCCACTATTCCTTAAGTATCTTCACATTACTAAATCTCAAAAAAAACACTCTTTGAAGTTCCTTTTTTAGAATCTGTCCCTCTTTCTGTAAATTATCACTTTGTACCCCAGTGAAATAGTTATAATACAATCTCTTCAATATTTTGATGAAAAATATATGTCACTGGAGTCTTTATAACCATGAATAACACCTCATCTATATTACAAAAGATTTATATTCTTAAACTTCCAAAAATTTATTATTTATCCAATACTCCTAGCATTGGAATACCATAAAGCATCTCAAAGAAAACTATTCTTATTTGTCTCACTTGTAAATGAAGACACAAAGGAGTGAAATGGTTTTTTTTATGGTTATATAATGAAACAAAACTTAAAAAAGAAATTAATTACTTGTCTTCAGATATGGAGAATGCTTTTTCCATGTTCACTATGAAACAACTAGCCCAGTTCTCCTATTTAATTCTACATAGTCAAACAATGTATTACATGAAGACACAGGCCTCAATTTGCCATTAAAGGGGAATTCAGCTTCTATCCCAATTGGGTGGACTTCCATATGAGAAAATAATCTGTCCTCATTAGAAGGAAATTTCTATTTTTTACTAAGATGGTAGAAATATATCTGGTTTAAATTGTCACAAGAACAAAGTTATCTTTTTTAATTTTAATGAAATCTACAGAAATCTACAGAAAGACAGGATACTCCCTGCTTAAGTAATCCATTTCAGCATCTTACAGCTCCAACTATCACTGGATTTTCAATTTGCCTGAAATTATATCTGCAATGATGCAGGAATTCTCCTTAATGATACTTTGTTCTTATGGAAAAGTATTACAGTAATCATAGTATCTTCTAATTGACTGAGGTACATCTTTTCTAACCAGAAAGATCTCACTTTTTCTTTCCCCTTAGAAAAGTATAAATTTAAGAATTTGTGCAGTCTTTACCTATACCGAAACTCTTAAATGCAGATAAAAAATTTAAACCAAAATTATGGCACTTTTTTTCTGTTAACATTGTTAACTATATAACTAGAAAACAACAAATCAATTATTACAATAATATAACATGCCATTTATGGTATTTCTTCCAGAAAGCATAATATTCTTATTTTGTATTTCAAAAGATGACTGAGGATATAAAATGTATTCTCTTAGTTATATTGTTGTTTTCTATTATAATCATCTCTGGATCCTTAACATTGAGAATTCATTTCTATTTGCTTTATTTCTAAATTTATAGGAACTATGTATCCATTTTTCTCATTATTTCAGAGGCCAAGATTAGAGAATTAATTTATATGACAATGTAAAGGCTTACCTTGGCTAGAATGGCATAGGCAAGTCCAAGTATTCCATTCCATTTAGTTTCTGGTAAAAAAAAATCTTCTGATTCAAAAATGATAGCAATGTTGACAAGAAAAGTACTATTGAATCCCTTTGGAATAGTAACCACATCTTCACCTACTGATCCTGTCCAGCTCCCTTGAGTATATTTAACATTGACATTCAAGTTTTTGGAGCGATATGTACTGGACCTATAAAATAAATAAAATCAAACCACAGTTGATTCAGTGTTATAATCCCATTCATTTGATCTGTGTTCATGAAACCTTTTTTGAGGGGTGGGGAAGAGATGGAGATAGTTCTTCTTCACAATACATATTGGCTAGGTATTATGAGATAGTAAAGGCCACCTATATTTTTAAAATTATGAATTAACAATTTATAAACAAACTTCTATTCTGGCAATAAATAATTTAACTTCACTGATTTCCAGTTGGAAGAAACTGGAAATCAATGAGGTCAAATTAGTTTAATCATTAAGATCACTTCCAATTTTAGCATTAAAGGATTATATGTTTCTATGAAAACATGTGAATTTCCTTTCCATGTATAGGGAAGTGTTGAAGCTTTAAAAATAGGTCCTAGGGTATAGAAAATTGTCAGATAGCTATTTAAAGAAGCTCTCCCAATTATACTGGGGGAGAGCAAGATGGCTCCTTCAGCTGACATAAAAAAACCCCACATATACATATACGATTCACATGCATAAGTATTTATATACAACATATATATATACACACACACAAACACACATATATGTATATACTTTAAATATATAAATGTATGTAATTTATATGAACATATACATATATATGTAATATATATTTTGTGTGTATGCATGCATATATGTATGTACTTTAAAAAGGAACTTCTGAACCCACTGTGGCTTAAGCAAAGCAGATGGAACTGCTTTCTCCCCCTTTCTACATTTAGTTTTCAAGACTTTCTTTTACGTTCACTTAACATATACAAAAATAGGACAGGAGGAAATGAGAGTCTAGCCATTTTTGAAAAGAAATTAATATGACAGAGATTTAGGAGGTTTACTGTGTTGGTATTATGTGAGGTACTATACATATTAAATTTTTAAAAAATCAGATTTTAACTTAAGTAGTAATGCCCTGAAGAGTACACAGATATTAAAATAACTCTTATTTCCAGGTCATGATCCTACCAAACACAGGAGGACCTGAGTTAGGGAAGAGAAAAGCAGATGATCCAAAAACATAATGGATGATGAGAAGAAACTAGAAACTAATATTTTATAATAATTTTTTAAAAGTAGTTAAGTATTTGAGATGTAGACAACTAAGAGCTAAGTCTTTTCTTATAAGATGAGGGAGCTAGATTAAATAATCTTGGAGGTCCCCAAACTATAATAATATTTATTCTGTGTGATTATAAACATTCAATTTTTTAAAAGTTTTTTTCAAACAGCAAAATTCTACTTTTCTTCTCCCATCCCTTGCCCCTCCTTTTGCCCCTGCCAAAGTGAATATGCAAGAAAAAAAAAATCCTTGTTAAAAACACATGTAGTCAAGAAAAAGAAACTTCCACATTGGTCATGTCCAAAAAAAGTCTTACTTTTCACTCTGAGTCCTTCACCACTATAACAAGAGGTAGGTAGGATATTTTATCATTAATCCTTTGGAATTGTGGCTGGTCATTATGCTAGTAAGAGTTCCTAATTCTTTCAAAGTTGATTGTTTTTACTATGCTACTGTCAGCTCTTTTTACTGCATTGTGTACTGGTTCATAGAATTCTCCCTAGGTTTCTCTGAAATCATTCCCTTCATCATTATTCATAGCATGTAATAGTATCATATCATTCATATATGCATATATACATATACATACATGCATATATGCAATTAAGTGGTACAGTAGATAGAGTGCTGGTCCTGGAGTCAGAAGGACCTTAGTTCAAATCTGACTGTAGATACTTAATAGCTGTGTGGCTATGGGCAAGTCATTTAGCCCTGTTTGCCTCAGTTGTGCATTTGTAAAATAATCAGGAGAAGGAAATGGCAAATCAAGAAAACAACAAATAGGGTCACAGAGAGTCAGACATGACTGAAATGACTCAACAACAACAAATATATAAACATACATAATACATACATACATACATATGTGTATGCATATGCAGATATACATATGTGCAATATATAAAAATATATATACATACATTTCCATATATTATATATGTGTGTGTGCGTGTGTATATGTGTGTGTGTGTGTGTGTGTGTGTGTGTGTGTATGTAGTATTCATCAGATTCCCATTCTTTACCATTTCAAAAAAGGTTATAAATATTTTTCTCTATCTTTAATTAGAGTTGGTTTTGTTTAGAACTAATCCATTCCTTAATCTACCTTCCCCACAAAGTCCCCTTCTCTCCTTTCCTTTCTAGTTCTCTGTTGAGTAAAATGTCTTTCCCTACCCAAGTCTCTGTGTGTATGTGCTTAATGTTCTTTGATCAGTTCAGATGAGAATGAGGGTCAAATGACAGCTATCTTCTCCTCCTTGTTTGTATAGCTGTGTACTTGGGCATTTTGATTATGTGAGATAATTTTCCCCAACTTTCCTTTCTCTTTCTGCCTTCCCTCCTTCCTGGTATATTTCTCTTCCCATCTCTGTTCTCGCCTTAAGGTTATCAGGACACAATAGAACCATGCTCAGATCTCTCATCTTGATGGTGATAGGGTTTGGAGGTCCATGTATCATCTTTCTATGTTAGAATGTAAGCAGTTTATCTCTTTTTAGACCCTTATGATTGTTCACTTGTGATTATCTTTTTATGTTTCTATTTCTATTCCTATTGTTATGTTAACTTCAAAGTTTCTATATAGCTCTGTTTTTTTCATTCAGGGATGCTTGGAAGTACTCTAAAGGTCACTTTTTTTCTCTGTAGCATTTTACTCAGTTGTGTTGGGCAAGTTATTCTTGGCACTAAGTCTACATCCTTATGGATATATGGCAAGAATGGAAGATGGATACAAAAAAGTACTGCAGTCCTTTAAAAATAGGAACACTAAAGTCTAGAAGAAGCTGAAGCTGGTGATCAATGCCAAAAACAACAAAAAGGCATTTTTTCAGCCATGTTTGAGTCAAAAAGTACATGAGCATTCTATGACCACTGTTGGAGTTGGATGAGATGAGAACAACAAGAAGAGAAGAAAGAACTTCTCAGCTCTTATTTTGCTTGTTTTCTCTGTCAAGGACTAGGTAAGGAGAATAAAAATGTTAATATGTATTTGAAACCCAAGATATAAAGAGAAAGTAAAAGAATATCTGGCTACATTCAGTGAATTCAAAGTGTTTGGATTGGGTAAATATCTTAGGGTATTAAAAGTGGTGGGTATGATTGCTGAGCTATTGCCAATAATTTTTCAAAGACTGTGGAGAATGAGATAAGTGTCATGGGACCAGAGAAGAGTAACTGTCCCACTTTACAGAAAGAGAGAGAGAGAGAGACAGAGAGAGAGAGAGAGAGAGAGAGAGAGAGAGAGAGAGAGAGAGAGAGACAGAGAGACAGAGAGACGGCAGTGCATAGGGTCATTGAATTTAACTTCAATTCTTCACCAAATTCTAGACTATAATATCAAAAAGATGGTTTGTGAACATTTACAAAAGAGAACATTTCACCAATAGGCAGTATGACTTCATCAAGAACAGGAGGTCTCAGGCTAATTTAGTACCTGGAAAATAGAGTGACACAGATATAGCTTACCAAAATAACATTAAAGTTTTTGACAGTGAACCTTCTGCGGAAAAGATTGGATGGTATGAGTTAGAAAATAAGACAAATGAATTCAAAACTGGAGGAATAGTTGACCTAAGAGAACAGGCAAATATAAACTCAGTTCAGAGGGAGGCATTTAGTGCAATACACTCTAGATCTATCAGATGCCATCATTATCAAATTTGTGGATGACATTAAGCTAGAAGAGATAACTAGCATGTTAGAACACAAAGCCAGCATTCCAAACAATTTTGACAAACTAAAACACTGGGTCAAATCTTATGACATAATTATTAAATTATCATAGGCATAAATGTAAAATTTTACTTAGGTTAAAAAAAATCAGTTATGTGAATACAAAGTGGAAGAGGCAAGGCCATTTGTTGTTTCTTTTTTTTTTAAGATTTGGAGTTTTTAGTGGGCTACAAGTTTAATATGAGTTCACAACATGACAGTAACAACAACAACAAAAAAAACTAGTGAATGCATTAAGAGAGCTATGTTATCCAGTATGCCATGATCAGATTGTATCTAGAATATTCTGTTCAGTTATGGACACTATACTTTAGGAAAGTCATACATAAGTTATAATATTTCAAGAAGATGATAAGACTGAAAAATTTTCCATTAGGAGATAGGTTGAAGGAAGAATATGGGTGGGGAGGGAAGAGCAGAGACTATGTTTATCTCATGGAATAGAAGATGGGGGAGCTGGCTTATAAGATGGCTATTTTCATAAGTATCTGAAGTGCTTTTATGTGGAAGAAAGATTAGACTTGTTTGGTATTAGAGGAGAAAAATGTGAAGCTGGGAGGTAGAAATTGTAGAAGGGCAGTTTAAGTGAGTAGAAACAGAACAATTCATAATATAGCAACAAAATTGTAAAGATAAATGTCTTTGAAATATTTAAGAACTGATCAGTGTAATGACTAACCATGATTCCAGAGAAGTAATGATGAAACATGCTATCCATCTCTGGACAAAGAGGTGATGGAGTCAGGTCAAAGTGTAAGACATGTTTTTTTTATTTTGTTTTGTTTTGATTCGGTTTAGCAATGTAAGAATTTTTGTTTGTGCATATTTGTTATAAGGGTTTTCCTTTTCCTTTTCAATGGGGAAAAGTGGTGGGAAGGTGGGAGGTAGAGAAAATAGATTTTTCTTCACTATTGAAAAGAATAAAATAAAATTTATAATGAATTAATTCTATCTGTTGGTAATATACAATATTTTAAAATAAATAAAGATTATTTGAGGGGAAAGGCACTAACAGCTAGAGAATCAGGAAAGATTTCGTTTGGAAAGTGATGCTTGAGCTAAGTTTTGAAGGAAACAAGGGATTCTAAGAGGATGCATTCAAAGAATTTAAGAAAGACAGTTCAAAGGCTTGGAGACAAGAGATGGAATTTCATCTGTGAGGAACAGCAAGAAAAGAGTTTTGGCTAGACCAT